ACTTATGTAATGTAACTAAGGCCCGATTTCGCGAAAAATTCTCGTATTACGAGAAAAAAAAATCAAACACATTTTCAGAGTAGTTGTGTCGTGTATATTATACGCGACAGCATCGGCATGTGACGTCACACCGGTAAAACCTCCACTTGGCCGATACGCAGTCGCGTATCTTGACATCGGCATGTGACGTCACACCGGTAAAACCTCCACTTGGCCGATACGCAGTCGCGTATCTTGATAAACGTAATGAATACCGTTTCTGAATAGAATAATAACTTTTTATTGAATTTTTGACGTTTCAAAAATAGTTTTGAGGAGTCCTGAACAAAGAAACGATTTTCGTCCTACTTGTCTGTTGAAAAGGCAATCAATTCTACAGTAAAAATCAATTTCAAAATCATGCTGACATATTTATACTTTCGGATATTTGAAAATTATTGGAGAAATTCAGATCCATTTAGATTATTATAAAAACTTTTTCCTCTCGTATACTCTTTCGGGTCTTTACGATTTGTTCCCTTCCCACCCCCCAAACCCCCTGTAACGCATTTGCCGAACGGAGGGAAAAACCTCATTCGAGGGGAAAAACCTGCCCTGGTACAGTCGTCCTTTTGACAGGACTACCGCTCGAGAGTGAAACTGTGAGATTAGAGCGCTATAAATTTTGACCGCCGGTGCCCGGGATCGAACCTGGATCGTTGGCATGCTAGTCTAGCACTCTAACCGCACGGCCACTACCGTCGGCCATTTAGGTTATTATATATTATTATTATTATATTCAACGGATTTTCAGAAAACATGTGTTTAAGTGACTTAGACTTAATAAGTCGATTCTTATTGGCAAATCCCCTTTATTAGGAGTTCAGTATGTGTGCGGGGAATCATACACGGGAAGATTTCAATAAGAAAAATTACGATGTGAAAATCGTAACCGCGGCCGAAATCACGAATTCCGGGAAATATGCGTTAATTTTTTTTGGAAATTGGGACTTTAATTTTTTAAGAATACATCTCTCTATCCAAACGTCACGCATTGGAATGGTAAGAAAAAGAGAAAGAAAATTTCGATGTACATATTTTTTAAAAATGTTTTTAAGATCTGAATAATTTATTAATGGAATAGGAGAGAATATAATTACTTTCTCAAATTTTACGTTTCAAATTTGATTTCTTTTTTCCAATAGCGGAACTAAATTGAATACTATGTTCATTTCATTAAGTTGCAGTAATAGAGTACAATAAATCCATGTTTTTATCGGTTATTCCGGAAAGGAATAACTTAAATTTTCAATTAACTGGAATTGATAACTTATTGACAATTTTTGTTTTTTACGGAAAACGAGAGAAAAAATATTTACAGTCAAGATATTAACTGCTGCAGCGCCCGTGGATTTTTACATGCGAAATTTTCATTTTTACGATGTGAACTCACAAAATATCAAAGCAGCGAGTGATGTTTACAAATCGGGTATAAGGAAATAAACATAAGGCTCCATGTTTGCGTTTTTTGTCTCATTGTTTCCCTCTATTATCTACTCATTATTTTCACGATGTGAAATTGGTCTTTATCGCGGCGACTGCTCGCATATGTTTCTGACATTTTCAGGTTTTTTTGGAACGGAATTTGAATTTTTAATATTCTATGATGGCACAATTCTCTGGAATTGACTTCATTTTTCCTCCTACACAATTGGAAATTCTCTTCATCAATGTAATAAAAAAAAAAGAAATTGATTTGGAGCTAGTCTCCTTATTTTCAAATTACGACTGACAATAGTAAAATGGCCAAATCCTTCATTATGGTCCACCGTTCTAATTCTACCCATGCAATTTTACGATTCAAAAATCGAAAAATTAACTAAATAAATCGTTCCGTGTAGTAGCGAGGCGATTAATTCGAGTTTAAACCAAATGAAAAACCCCGTGCTCTTTTAATATGAGGGATTCGATGCCTGTCGTAATGCTAGGAGCGTATTTGAATTGATACTTGGATCGACACTTGAATTACACCTTACCAGCCTTTTCCCGTCATCTGATCCGCTGGTGTCACCTTTTCTCTTCCTCATTTTATCCATCCCTCCACCTTTCCTCACAATTTCCATTAGGTTACATTAAATATTAATAGTTAAAAAAATTGTTAGCAGAGTTTTGTTTTTACATTTTTCCCGTATTCAAGGGACCTCAATCTACCACTGGAAGAGAGGTTTATCAATCATTTAGAAACACCCTGCATACTGTGACCTTGGCCGGGGAATTAATATAAATTAAGTCCCGATCAAGACATGATAATTCCAGTAATAATTAACGCGGGGGAAAAAGTCCTTGATGTTTGAATAATTTACGGGAGGACTTGAACATGAGAGAAAGGGACAGGAGGGAATGATTTACTCGGGGAGAATTGATAAGAAAAAGAAACTAATTATATTTCCCTTGGTAACAGTCAAATTAAATATGAATATAATCAAATTAAATATATGGTTTTTCCGCCTGTTATTGTCTTACACGAGGGGAAGGGCTAAAGCCAGTCAGCTTGCGGCAACACGACTAACTTTATATAAAAAAAGGGGGAGAAGTTAATCGGAAAGGAGGGGGGTGAAGTGAGTGGGACAGATTCCACTGTCCAGTAATGATGAACGGGGCTGATGCCGTACAAGTTTTAAAATTAATAAAAAAAAGGGAAAGACAAAAGAAATGCTATAGTGAGACTTATCGTTAAGGGGGATTTATTATAAGGGTAAACTTCGTTGGGGCAGGGGAATAACGTAGAGGTACTTGCGGTGATGACCGCCAAACTCTGCAGGTGCTCTCTCTCTGGAATTTTCTTCTCCTCTGCGCTCTTCTTCCTTCCTTCTTCACTCCTGGGTCCAAAAGAATTCTTCTCCACACAACTCACTTCCGTAAATCCAGTCTAACCAAATTTCTCCACACAATTCTCTCCAAAAAACTATTCTCCACAAAACAAGTCACAATACCGGGGCAGCTGTATAGGGAGTGATGGCTCGCTAGTCGATCGACTCGTTAGTCGATGGTCTTCTTCCTCGATTATCGACCATAATCGGGGTCAATCGAGGGCACTCGTCACTGAGTGTCCTTTTCTTCATTATTTCTTCTGCGGGGTTCCACCGAGGGATGTCTCTCTTAAACTGGGATTGAACAAGGAAATTTGCAACGTACGGTAGAATGGTCGAATAATAATGGACTCAATCTCATCAATATGAGATACTTCAGTTTATTAATTTCTAACTAAAGAGTAACAGTTTATATGTTATATTTTAAAAGTGAACTCAAATAAATTGTCGTTAATGACTTCGATAATAAGATAATGAGCCCAGTGCGATATGGCTTCTATTGTTACG